TCGCCCGCACCTTTGAACAAAAAGACTCAAATAGCTTCGCCCTCACCCTAGAACCAAAAAATACTAAAATGGCTTCGCCCGCACCCCCTTGAACAAAAAAATGATTATAAAATGGCTTCGCCCGGACTCGAACCGGAGACCTTCAGTGTGTTAGACTGACGTGATAACCAACTACACCACGAAACCATTATTGAGAGGAGATGAACACTTTTATTATTTTATCAGAAACATAATGACAAAACCATAGTTACGCACCTCTTCAGATTTCCATATACTTAAAATATTGATTTAAGCATTAATAAAAAGGAATATCACCTAAAAATATTTGTTTTATTTTTGGAATTGAAACAATTTCATATAGTACATATTTTATATTGAGGTCTCACTTTTTTAGGGTATAAAGTACATTTTGATTTTATCTTTTTTAAAAAATATTAGGTTGAATTCAAATTTGGTAATGTTCATGACTTTCACCATAGGGGAATTATGTCAATCTTATTTAAATTAAATTATTTTTTATTATCTTTTATATGTGTATGATGGTGACAAATATAAACATACAATTTAATATTAATCCGATATATAAAAAATATAAAATTAAAATGCATTTCATCTAAATTGGATCTTAATCCAATATATAAAAAAATATAAAATCAAAATACATTACATACTTTAAAAAATGATACTTCAGTGTAAAATGTGAAATATGTAAAATTAATTTTTTATTTAAGAAATAAAACAATTTTTTATTATAAATTAAATTAATATATAAAATCCCATGATATTTCTGAATTACAAAGTAGTCTCTATTGTTTCACAATTTACCCTTGGGTCCCCATTCTTATTGTAAATTTTGTTTGTTTCCAAAATAACCTTCGTCCGGTACTTGAAGTATCATATTGAATGTAAGGTTTTTTCTTTCAAAACCTATTCTGATACTTGAAGTATTGAAATAAGTCCAAAACTAGAAGTACTGAACGGACTTTTGACAAAAAAAAAAAGAAAAAAAAGTAGCAAATAGCTAGGGTGGTATTTGTGTAGCAATCCATATTTTCATCATTCGAGCTTGTCAAGTTGGACCGAATTTTAGAATATAAAATTTTACATGCGTTCAAATACTTTAGTACCATATCGGGTTTATTTTAAAAAATCTAAAAAATTGACAAAACAATGTCCCACACATAAAATATGAAAAAATGAGGATTGTTTTTCAATTATAAGAAAAATAGGGGACTTATATCTTAATTTTGCTAAAATTTTAAAAATTGAAGGATTAAAATAGATTTATGTGTTAATTTTCCTTAAAAGAAATGAAACAAAAATAAAAACTGGACCAGGGTTATTTAAAAAAATAAAAATTGACAAAGAAAATAGCCCACATATAAAAGGGTTATTTTGAAAAATCTAAAAAATCGGCAAAAATAGTCCCACACATAAAATATGAAAAAATGAGGAATGTTTTTCAATTCTAAGAAGAACAGTGGATTTATATGTTAATTTTCCTAAAACTAAAAAAATTGAAGAATTACTTTTTAGTTCCAAAAAAGAGATTTATGCCTTAATTTTCCTTAAAAGAAATGAAACAAAACAAAAAAAATGTCCCACGCATAAAAAAAGGAAAAATGAAGATCGTTTTTCCATTCAATGAAAAATAGGTGATTCATACGTTAATTTTCCTAAAACTATAAAAATTGAAGAATTACATTTTAGCTCCGTATGTGTTAATTTTCCTTAAAAGAAAATGAAACAAAAAAGGCTTCTTCACAGGTAGGATTCGAACCCACGATCGCCTGATTAGAGGTCAGACGCCTAATCCATTAGGCCACGGGTACATAACGACGTTTTTCGAGGATTACTTTTTATATTTATAAATAAATAAGGATTGTTTGTACAACCCCTTGGCTTCTCTCTCTAAATATGTTGTTGTTTTATATTCTCTATGAAACTGGCCGTTTTTTTGTCTTTTCTCTCTAAATATGTTGGTATTTTATATTCTCTTTCTAAAACTCCGGTCGTTTTTTTATATTCTCTGCCTAAAATTCCTTCGTTTTTTTGGCTTCTTCCTCTAAAAACCTTGGTGTTTTGTTCTCTTCCTCCGGAGCTTGTTTTTTTTTTCTCTCTCTAAAAATCACCTCCGGAGCTAGGCTTAAATTTATAAATTTTTGAAAAAATTATAAAAAAAAATATTTTAAAATAGACTATTTATACAACTTATCCCACCTCAATTTTTTCTCTCACTTTTTTCGTACAACAACATTACCGCGCAAAAACCCAAAGGTAAACTTTTGTTATTTTCTTAACAGAAATACCCTTCCTGTACAAATCAAATCAATTCGCGGGTGTCAAGTAGCGTACTGCCGGAGTGCATCTTTGCACTACCGGAACGCCTTCTCATAATGCCGAAGCACTGTGGCTCAGACCTACATTGCCAGAGCTCACATTCAAAATGCCGGATCACTTGTTTATACTGCCGGAGCACGGTCTTCTATTGCCGAAGCACTGTGGCTCTAAAGACTTCATTGCGGAAGCGGAATGCTGGAGCGCATCTTTGCACTACCGGAGCGAGTTCTCATAATGCAGAAGCACTGCGGCTCAGACCTACATTGCAGTAGCACATATTCAGAATGTCGAAACGTGTGTTTGTAAGCGCATGTGAAAACAATAAAGAAGGCCGTGTGAAACAAACAATGGTAGTTTAGTCTTATTTCATGCTACTTTTGGGTTAGGGGGTTATTTGCAAGAAAATGTTGTTTGGGAAAAGAGTGAGTGAAAAGATCGGAGTGAGAGTAAGTTGCATAGATAGTCCATTTTAAAGTGTTTTTTTTTTTACTTTTCCTAAATTCTTCTTCTCTCTCAAAAGTTGACCCAATCTCTCTCTAAATTATGAAATATTGTTCTTTATGTGTTTTCTCTCTCTAAAAAAATCTCTTGAGTTACGTCCAGTATTCGCAAAATCGAACCAGAACGGTTAATCGGACATGGGGCTGGGAGTGGTTTAAACCAAAACCGAACTAACCGGTCAAGTAGATTTTTTTAAAAAAAATGGGTTAAAAACTCCCAAAAAATAAATAAAAAAAAACTAAAAATACTTAGACTTTATTTTACACAAAAAATTTTGAAACAACTTTTTATAAAGTAATATTCGAATACTATGGTCATGTGCTTGAAAATAGCTTAGGATATTTTTTTTGAAGATATTTTTGTCATATAATATATAAAAAACTTCCCATATTGATAAAAAATATATATAATTTTATTAAGCAAAATGTAAATTTTATTTTTTAGAAAATCAATTTCTCAAATGAGAGATGATTTTAAATTAAAATATTTGTATAACTCTCTCTCTCTCTCTCTAGAATCTGGCCAGATCAGGATCGGCCAGTGACTGATCCCGAGTTAGTCGGCCGATTTTTTAAAAAATAGTTGATCTTTTGAAGGCTATTTCCATAGTATTAAAAAAACTTGATAGAGAAAGAACAAAAAAATACATAAAGAAAAAGGAGAAGAACAAAGCACATATTCATTGAACATAAGGCAACCATAATTTCTACAAGCACTTTAAAAAAAAAAATATCCCATTTCCATAATTACATATATAAATATATCAACTTTAACAAAAAGATAACTAAAAAATCGAGCGACATTATCATGCACTTATCAAAAAGAAGAATCAATTTCATAAAAAAATGATTTTATCAAAGGAATAATTTTATTAAGCAAAATAGAAAAACACTTATCATATTCATCGAAAAAATGTAATTTTAAAATCATAATTCTATTAAAAATAATTTATTAAGCAAAATAGAAAAACACTTCTCAATTTTATCAAAAAAACATAATTTTATTTAACAAAATATCTTTTTTAGAAAAATCGACTTTTCAAAAACCCAAAAAATGAAGCAACATTTCGAGCAATGAACGACCCTCAATATTTGGATAATCGAAAAAATGAACATACATGCATTGTAAAGGCTTCAATCATCTTTCAAACGCACCCAATATCATCAAAAAATATTCGTTATTTTTTATTTAATTGAAGAAAATGCAGAAATTCTAGATCTATGAAATTTTCATTATATGATGCAACAAAAAAATTGATATAAAAAATTTACTCAATAATAAATAAATATAGTAATTTTATTTGAGCTATAAAGCCTCGATTATTGAAATACATGACTTAATTTGATAAACAACAGCCAATAAATGGACAAAAAATCCACATTTTTTGGTAGAACACAGGTTCTTGGAGCAGCAACCGCTCGTGCTAAAATAAACCCTTTATTGTTTTGGTTTATGATCAAATTAAAGTTGAATCTAGTAAATACTTCGAATAGCAATCAAACCCCTCAACTTTCTTGAAGAATCATTAGGTATTGAGGAGACTGTTGAAAGAAAGGCGGAAGTTTTCAAAAACCTAAAAGATCCTCCATTTCAATAAAAGAAACTCGTTTTCTTCAATGTTTAAATCTAAATTTGTTGTTTTAGGTTCATTATATAGTGATTTAAACCATTAAAACACGAAAAAAAACCAAAATATTTTCGTAAACCGAATAAAAAATGGTGAAATTTGGATTCACAGTTTTCCTTCTACAAAAAACGATTTGAATTTTAAAATAACATCGTTGTTTACCCTAAAACGATGTTATAACGACAAACCGGTCCGGTAAGCTGAAAACCGGCCGGTTTTTAAAAAATATCGTCGGTTCGATATCGAACCAGCCGATTTTTGTACCAATTTTTTTTGAAGATGAGCTTCTATTGAGTAGTACCGTAAAATCAACCTTAACCGGAATCGGTATACCCATTTAACAGGCCGGTTCCGGTATGGACTGGCCGGGTTTTTCGAACAATGGTTTCGTCCCAAAGCAACGGGCCAAATCGCGTTGGTTTCTCTCTCTAAATCCTGGTCGTTTTGGTTTTCCCTCTCTAAAAAATTATCCATCCAAAACACGTGGGAGCTGGGATAAATTCCCGTTGTTTTCTCTCTCTAAAAACCACTCGCCCCCAAACTTCTGGGACTGAAGCTGGCCTATGGTCCTATACCTATATAATCGAATCGCCTCTCTCTCTAAAACAGAAAGAGAAGAGAGAGGAGAGAGAGAAGCATCAGGGACCAAGTGCGGGCTCCTGAAAGAGAGAGAAGCCATTTCCTCAACCATTAGAGAGAGAAAGAAGCTTCCTATCTGCATCAATTAAAGGGAGAGAGAGAGAGAGGGCATTGGCCTCCAAAGCATCTAGAGAGAAAGGGAACGAACAGGTAAAGAGCGACAGAGCAAACAACCACCCATTAATAGAGAGAGGAAGAATAACCATCCATTAATAGATCGACCCCACAACCACCAGAACCATGGATCACGCCAAAACCCTAACCCTAGAGCAAACCATCTCGCCTCAGAACACGTCATATACGGAGAAAACCCTAACCCCAGGCCACGACCGTCCTGTCCAGAACATCATAGTGATGCGCCATGGCGATCGAGTGGACCAGGTGAAGCCGTTATGGATTCACAATGCTCAAAGGCCATGGGATCCTCCGCTTGTCGATGAAGGAAAGATCAGAGCTTGGTGTAAAGGAAAGAGGCTTAGAAATGAGGGGTTTCAGATCCACAGGGTTCTGGTTTCTCCATTTGTTAGGTGTATTGAAACTGCTTCGGAGGCCATTGCTGCTCTCTGTGCACATGAGGAGCACCTTGTTGAGACCACCAGCGAAAATGCAGTGATTGATCCAACCAAAGTCAAGGTATCACGATCCGAAGAAACCTAAATACCAGTTATAAGTAGATTAGATTTCTGATTTTGATCTATCGTTCTATCTTTTCCTTTTCTTTTTGATGGTTGGAAGGATCTGGTCAGGGGTTTGATGTTGAAATCTGAGAATTATTGGCTGTGAATTTCTTTCTTTTGAGATCCGAGAATTATTGTCAATTAATTTCTAAAAAAAAAAATATTTTGAAACATTGGAAAGAATTGTGTTATGATCTTACTCTAATAGATGATAAACTGCAACCAGAACGATAGAAGCACTACAATTTAGGAGCATAAACTTAAGGAAAAAGTTTATATAAGGATGCAACCTTATAATGTAGAACTACGGATGCACCTCAAAAATCCATCTGAAAGGGCAGTTTTAAGGTTGAAAGACCCTTTGATTGATCATCTTGGCATCGAGATGTACGACCAAGAAAAATAAAAAGATTTTAAGTCTCAGAAAAAATAAAAAGATTTTAAGTCTCAGAAATAATGCATTTTACAACATATTATCTACACCGTCCATTTTCATAATTTTCATATGTTTATAGATCTACTTGATTTTAACCATTTTTGAAAATTAAAATTTTATAATTAGATATAAAAATAGATTTTGAGATAATCCTAAGAACATTTTACATCAAAATTATGTACCATCATAAAATTTGAAGGTGCACCTTACCTCTGAAGCTACGGATGCATCCTTATGCCAACAGCACCCTAAACTTAATGCTTTTTTAATTGTTGATACTCATATTTTGCATATAGACATTCACCCACCCCACTCCCATATAATATTCAAATTAAGAAATTACCAAATCACGACACTCCCCAAATCCTGTTCAATACTCAAATTGGATAAGTTAATTACTCAGGCTGTCCCTTTATTCTAGCTAGGCTAATCCCTTTATTCCAGTCCTCCGTTTCCGAAACATTCTATCCCAACAGTTCAACCTGTCCTCAAGGTTAGAAGTGCTCAATCATTACTTCACTTGATCATCCGTCTCCCAGTCGGCATCACCATCTAGCATAAACAACTGCTGGGACTTACACCTGTGGCCCAGCAACGACTTTTGTCACCATTATAGTAGAGGTCCTTGTCTCTATGCTCCTTAATCTTGGCCCTGCTTAGTTTCTTAATTGCAGCGGTTCCTGTGTGTACGGTAGCCTCCTGCCAGTTAAATTGGTTTTTTTCTCTGCGCTTGAGTAACTGCAGTTTTTCTTCTTGCATAAAAGCGAGGAAGATCGTGGCCATCAAGGTTCTCGGTCGGAACATTTGGACCTCAATCCCAGTTTCTTCCTCTTGGCCCCCGATAAAGCACCCAATCTAAACCTATCCCTTTCACCCATCCACACTATTCGTCAACCGCTTAAAGTGGTTTGCTATTCTAATTCGGTTCCTGTATGCCACTAATTTAAACAGGGCTGCACAAATATTTGTATTCTGTGTTTTCGAAATGAACAAAGAGTCCTTTGACAAGATCCACTCATGTCACTGTCACGTGTCTTTTCGTTATATGGAAACCACTGCACTGCATCTCCTTCCAAGTGGAAAGATGCCAGAACGTTTATTCCTCCTGGGTTTTCAAAAATTTGAATATTTGCTGCACGCGATAAATCCATCTAGTTGGATCATCGCCACTAAACTTGGGAAAATACAAATTTGTGTATTGGGCTTGGATCGGCGCTCCACCCTCTCTTGTGTGAAATGTCCCTTCATGGGATTCCATGGGATGCATCTAGCTTGGTCCTCCCACCCAATTGACCGACCATTCCTCAATATCTTTGTGCATTGAAGATGCTAATTGCTCGTATTGAAGACTCATTTCAGTGAGGGTCTCACGTACGCACAACAGTGCCAAATGTTGTTGCACTTATCCTTCACACTTTTCCATTTTTTTACTTTTTAACCCCTGCATGCTTGGAGCCTTCTAACCAGCTTTGGGCATACCAGGATTGATTCTCTGATACCACTTGTTATGATCTTGGTCAAAAAGATTGTAACCTGCAACCAAAAGGATAGAAAAGTGTGATGGTGATTTGATCCTCTTTGAGGGGGTTCTTCCTCCTTGTGCTACACAAACAGTTTAAGGGGGCGAAAACTCAATGCTCTATTTTCATTATTGAGAATCATGTTTTCCCCCTCAACCAAGTCCCGTACAATACTCAAATTAAAAAATTACCAAATCAAGAAACTCCCCGAATCCTCAAATTAAATTACTACCCAGGCTGCTACTGCCTTTATTCTAGTCTTACGGTTTCCCAATATATCTTTTTTGTTTTTTTTTCTAGAGCAGAAAAGATCAATTTGTTGGTTTTTATGTTGAAAATATAGGATCAAAGATGGCATCACGTTGAGAATATTGGATCAAAGATGGCATTTTTACTGTGTTAACATGGATAGAGCTATATTACAACTAATCTGAATTTTCGTAAATCTAAAGAACCCTACTTAAAAAAAAAAAGTAAATATGTTAGCAAGTTAGGAATTACTTGACTGAAAAGTTGGTTGTGAAATTATTAGGTTAAAATTCCATTTATTTGAGATTTAGATAGATAAAAATTGGATCAAAATAGTAAATTTTTTAAAATAAATAAAAATTGTAAAACCAAAAGAAACCCAAAGGCAACAGAAAAATTCCCAAAAGCTAAAAAAAAAAGAAAGGGTTTAGAAAAAGCTGATCTATATTGGAGATATTTAAAAAATAAAAAAAAAGGAAAATATAAAAATAGGGCATATAACAAGAAAAGCTTACAAATCGTTGTAAAAGAAGAGCCAAATTACATACATATTTTTTATACATTGATTCTATCTTTTTATATTTTTTATGATTTTGTTTTTAATTTTTTTAGGTGGCCTGAGTTGGACCTGAGTACACGGCTCGGAAAGTAGCTGAGTCTGGGTAACTTGAGTTCGAGTGGACTCAGCCGAGTTTGAATCATTCAATTCTACTGATACTCACCTTATTTCAGTTCCAAACTTATCTTGGATCCAATTTTGAGGTGGATTTCTTATATTGGCTTCATTAATTCTAATGTCTACAAGCTCTTGAGCTTCCTTGAAACATTATCAAACTACCCGAAACATCTGACTCTTTCCTTTGATTTATTGTTTGGATCATTTTGTGGTGTCCCCCATATTCGTTGATATAGAAAGTTTTTTATTTTTTGAGAATGTTTCACTTTTGTTGATATTGAAAGTTTCAGCCAAAGTTCTATGAAATTCGCAGCCACAAATTATGAAAATTGAATATTCATTTTATCTTTTAGTTCAGATTCAGAAGATAGTTGTTGACTTTGCTTAATCTAGGACTGTATCTTTGTCAGAGAAATAGTGGAAATTAAAAGGAGGACTCCAGTTGGGACTCCCAAGACCAAGTCAGGTCTGATAGACTCGGCTGAGTCAGCCTTTTAGAGACTCGATAGGGTCTTTAAAAGAAAAGAAATAATAAAAGGAAAAAGTTTATATAAGGTTGTAACCTAAAAATGTAGAATTAGAGATGCATCTCAAAAATCCATTGAACAAGGTTGTTTTAATGTTGAAAAACCCTCTAATTGATCATCTCTACATCGAGATATATGAATATGAAAAAATAAAAAAAATTGAGTCCCAGAAATAGTGCATCTTGCAACACGTTATCTAGATAGACCATCCATTTTCAAGATTTTCATATGTTTATGGATCTACTTGATTTTAACCATTTTTGGAGTTTAAAATGTTATAATTAGCTATGAGAATAGATTTCAGGTAAATCCTAAGAATTTTTTGTACCAAAATTACATGTTATGATAAAATTTGGAGGTGTGCCTTAATTGGATTGTTTAAGGTTGCAACCTTATATAAACCACACCCATAATAAAATATCTGGAACCAGCCAGACCCGGCCCTGTTCCCATTGGTTTGGTTCCAGTCTCTGGAGAGGGTAGGCAAGAAACAGAAATAAACAGAGGGTAACATGAAGGACAAATAAAGATGCCCTACGTGACCTCAATTTGGGCCAGACTGCTGGTTCCCCATGCGTTTGGTTCCAAAGACCTATTTCCATGCACACAATGGCCGTATTGATTTGTAGTTATACCTAGTAAAAGAAATTCCGGTAATGTAATGTGATAGAGAAGCAGAAATATAATCAATTGGAGTTTTTCTTTCTTTTGTTCATGTATTGAAGTCCTTTTGATATTCTCAATGCTGACACTGTTTTCATTAGCTTCTCTTCTGCTCTTTTGCAGGTCTCAATAGAGTATGGACTGTGTGAAGCCCTGTGCAGGCTGGCCATAAACCCAGAAGTGGTTCCTAAAGATGGAAAGTGGTTCCCTGATGTCTCTGAGCTTGAAGCTTTGCTGCCTCAGGGAACTGTTGATCGCTCTGTAGAGCGCGTGTACCCAGAGGTCTCTCTCTCTCTTACATCAATTTTTGGCTTCAGTTTTGCTGTTAATTTGTTATGTTTGTATATACTTGAATCTGTGAATGGTTCGGTTTTGTTGTTAATTTGTGGTGTTTGTGTAAAATTGAATCAGTTGCCACAATGGGAGGAGGAAATGGAAGAGGCAAGGGACAGATACAGAAGAGTCATTCAGGCTCTTGCAGACAAATTCCCCAATGAGAATCTGTTACTTGTCACACACGGTAGCCTCTCTCTCTCTTTCTCACACACATTCTCTCTCTCACACTCTCTCTCTCTCACACACGCACACAAAAACACACATCTAGGTTCAGCATAAGACAAATCAAACAAAATCGACGACGAATTTGTAAAGTTGAAATGGTAATTGGTACAGATATAAAAGATGTGACCTGAAAGTTCCAACATAAAACCAAAAAAAAAAGAAAAAGATATTGTGAACCATAAAAAAGAAAACCAAAACAAAAACGGGTGCTTTTTGCTTAAAAGAGACCAAAGAGCTGGGAAGACAGAAGTTGGTGTTCCAGTTTCACGCATCAAGAATAACGTCCAACACTCGGACACATTTGATAGAGAATCTCTCTCTCTCATATTGCCCTCTTTCACTTTCTTTTGCCTGTCGTTGCAGGGGAAGGAGTTGGAACTGCAATATTAGAATTCTCCAAGAAGCCGGCAGTTGTGTATCAAGTAGATTATTGTGCCTTTGCACATCTTCAAAGATCAGCCTCTTCCCTTGATGATTTTGAGGTCCTAACAAAGAATGGTCAGACCGGTATTTCTTGCTACTATGTAGATTGATCAGAGAGAATTACTGAGAAGAACATGCCACAATGGGGAGCACATTGAGTTAAACTGAGGCCCCAAAAGTAAATTTAAGAAGTGAGGATATTGGATTGGCTTGTTACCTGGTTTAACCATCAGATCTCTACACGCTCAGTGATCTGAGATCATGGGTTTGAATGTTTAGACTGCCTTCTAGTTAGCTTATTGAAGAGAGATTCAATTACTTTACTACTTGATAAATCTCATGGTTGTTGATTTCACTATTTTAAACCCTATTCATTCAAACTATTCGATAAAATATATGGTTGGTGGTTCACTATGTTGGACCTTATTCAATTGAAAATAACTGGGGACTCTCTCTCGCTCTCTCAAGATCTGCTGGATTTTATGAGTATCAGTTTGATTTGAGGGAATTGGTTCACCATGAAATGTGATGGGAGAGAAACGGATAAATACCAATTTGTTTATGTGGAACACATGTTAATGAGTGCTAATCAGGTAGTGATTTAAAAATTTCTGTATAAGTCGGCTTAGTTTTGGGCCATAGATGTTATGGAGGGAATGGCATAGAAATTTGATGTTTCCTGTGATAGATGATTTTTTATATAGTTTTTCTGGTCTTGTCTGAGACTGGTATAAAAGTGAAGATTCCGATGAACAAAGTTCTCTCTCTCTCTCTCT